CCCCCCCCCCCCGCCTCCCCTCCATGACACCACAAGAACACTCACTGATCGCCAAGTTTTTTTCAACAATGCGAGAGACAACCGCACCTCCAATCACGCCCCCCCACGGCCCCCCACGCCCAATAACCGCAAGTCAATACTTTTCGCTCATCGTTCTCTTCGCACAAATATCATGGGAGGCGGCGACGCGAAACGCATAAACCACCCGGCGCTAGTGATCGACCTTGTACCCCCAACAAGACGGGATATTGGGGGAGAGGGAGGGGGCCCACCCCCACCTCCGACACGCCAGAGTGCAGGCAGCAGGGACCATGATTGATTCCGAGCATCAACACAAACACCAACAAGAAACAAAACAAAAAACACACGGTGACTAAACTAGAGTAGCAGCAGCAGCAGCAGCTCCCCTCTCCTGTAATCCCCCTTCTCGCTCGCTCGCTCGCTTGCTTGCTCCCCTAGGTGCTAAGTCGTAGGCGTTTTGGATCCGGCTCTCCCGATGCCCCCCCCGCCGCCGCTCCTTCTGCCGCCGCAGTCGCCCCATCGCCACCGGGCGATGTTCCCGGCTGCTGATCTCCTACCGTCCGTGCTCCCGGGGGCGACAGCGGCGCCTCCCCCCCCCCACCATCTTCGCCTTGGCCGGCACGAGGATCTCTTCCTTCCTGCCTGCTGCCTCCAGGAATAGTCCCCGCCCCCGCCCCCGCCCCGCCGTTCGAGACTGGACTACTGCTACTGCTTCTGGTGCCGCCACCATCGCCGCCGCCGGAAGACTCTTGTGCGCTGCTCCTCTCGCTAGGAGAAGGGGACGACGACCCCTTTCCCGCCCCCGGTGTGTTCTTCTCACTCTCGTCCCGATCGCCAGATCTTCCGTCCGACTCGACCACCATCGAAGTCACGGCCGGACCTCCCCCGCCGCCGCCGCTTTTATCATCCCCCACCGGCCCTTGCCCACCGCCGCTGCCGCCGTCTCTTCCGTGGGAGGCGTTCTGCTTCTCCTGGACGGGGGACGGGGAAGGGTCTGATGACGCGCCGCCGACGCCGCCGACGCCATCGTCGTCGCTGTCGTCCTCTTCGTCTCCGTAGGCTACAAGCTTCAACCCTGCGTGCGTCGCCGTCGATTTTTTTTTTTTTTTGTCGTTTCGGGAGGAGGAGGGCCGCACGAACGGTTTAGATACAGTGACATGAGGCTTCGGGTGGTCGAATGTACGCGTACGCGACGTTTGTTTCGGCAAACAAGAAAAAAAGAAAATACGAGTGCCCTTGCTCCGTTATGAGTAAAGGTCCCTGAAGTAGTGAAAAACCGTTCACCAACGGAGGTAATTTCGCTCTTCTTGCAATGTGGCAAGGAATGGCCAAGCAGTTAGTCGGGCTTGATAGGTTGAAAGGTGAGAGTGAGCTTCGGGGGCGCGCTTCCACCCTCCGGCTGGTCACAGCAGACGGAGCGTCTTTTCGTTGTCAAGATATTCAGACCACGAGAACGTCGTTCCGAGGGTCACGGATCTATACGGTTGTATGTGCGTCCCTACTACTGGGAAGATACCTATATCCTGGTTTCCACAAAAACAACACCAAATGAAAGGGAAACAAGAGGCAAAAGGAACGTTGTCCGAAATCCATCAGCCATCAGCACCATCGAGACCGGACGGCATCAAACAGCACGGCGGGTTCAAAGCCAGCCCACTTCCAGAAAAAATACCAGGCACACAACCCCCCCCC